CAGACAGCAGCCAGCCGCCGGGGGCCGAGCCAGCCAGCCAGCCAGGGACGTCCAGTCCACGAAACGACCCCTCGCTACAACCTCTACAACGCGCGCCTACGGCGCGCCGCGCCGTCCTGGGGCGGCTGCGGCGACCGGCTGGCCGCCGGCCACGCGCGTCGGCGCTCGCGCTTCCGTCACCCCCGGCGGGCCACTCCGGGCGCCTAACTAGATTTTGACATGATTCCCGCGCGAGATTTGCACATGCAACGTCTACATTGAAGAAATGGGTGGCTGCCAGCGACCGAGCCAGCCAGCCAGCCAACATTTACCTTGCGGTCTGCCAAACCGGCTCCCGGTTGAGGATTGTTAAATAGACTGGCCCTAGCCATTTTGTTCAATTACATTCTCTCTCGCCCGACGTACGCGTCATCGGACCGCCGGCAGCACCATGATGCGCTGCCTCGCCGCGCTGCTCGTCGCCCCCGTCGCGCGCGCCAACGTGTGCCAGCGCTACGACGGCGATAAAGCGGCCTGCGAGAGCGCGGGCTGCCTCTCCGACGGCCTGTGCCGCTGGGAGTCGTGGTCCAACCTCTGCGAGGGCTACGAGGCCGGGGGCATCAAATGCGTCGACGGCGTCGCCGTCATCATCCACGCGCCCACGATCGCCCCGTCGGCGCTGCCGTCGCCCGCGCCCACGCACCTGCCGCCGACGCTGACTTTAGCCCCGACGACGGGCTGCGAGGACGGCGAGGCGCCCTACCGGCTCGCGCTCTACGACTACGGCGAGGACGGCTGGGAGGGCGCGACCTACAGCGTGACCTCCGGCGACACGGTCGTCGCGACGGGGACCCTCGAGCGCGGCGGCGAGGGCGTCGACGGCTTCTGCCTGCTCGACGGGACCTACGAGCTGGCCTTCGGCGGCGGCGCCGACGACGCGGAGACGAGCGTCCAGTTCCTGCCCGCGGACGAGCAATTGGTGACGGCCACGGTGGGCCCCGCGTCCTTCTCCTTCGTCGCGGCCGCGGGCGCCGTCGTGGACGCGGACGCGTCGTCGGCCGGCGGCGGCGGCGGCG